GAAATACTATGAATTATCTGTACTTGAATTATTACACATCGTTAATTATGTAATTTAAAGGGTCATCGCTGGTACGGTTGGCCAAAATTTCATTTACCTGTTAAATGATAAATAACAAATTAAAGAAATGTTCTAATATTTTAGTTATGAATGAAAAGACTAATATTTCGGCCGTGGATAAGAATTCAATTTCTTATTCAAATAAAAGTCATCATTTCGCACAGATATCATTCGCGGTTAGTTATACACGAAGTTTTATACGCAAAGGCAGAATTTTTTCTCATGCTCGTCTTATATTCTATATTTACATATATATATAACAATAATATAATAATATATACATAATAATAATAATAATAATAATAATAATAATATATTATATATATGTATTATTATATTATTACTATTATTGTCATTTCATATACTTTTATATAATAATAATTATTATTATTGTTACTAGACTATCGTTAAAAGACGTTAAAAGATTATTATACGTATCAACGTATAATTACGTGTATTAATCATATCTGCATCGCTTAAAGTAGATTAGGCAACTTAGGCTATTGATTCAAATACGAAAGTGCTACAAACGATTTTAGAAATCACCGATCCACGTGTGGGTTTCACATTCATTTTTCTTCGCAAATAAAAGAAAAAGAGAACGCGTGAAGAATAATTGGTGACTAGTTTCGCAATAATGTAATTAGCATATTTTCGTAAAATATGTTGAAAAAATGTTTCGAAATCCTGCTGCTGACCGGGCAATAAAAAACAGAGCAAATAGGTTCGGAATATCTGTAAATGAGTTAATTGTTAGAAATATCATTTTATTTAATTTTTATTTATTTAATGTCAATGCGACGATACAAATGCAATATATTCGGTGTACAAATTATTTTGTTTCTCAAGGAAAGGGAATAGCTTTGTGATCTATTTCTTGCTATTAATTTTTCTCATAATTAATTTAGGATGTTGCAATGAAAATTATGTTTATTAAATTTATGATTCAATGAGAGAAGATTAGATTTCAATTATTCGAACTATATGTAGTTCACGTTTATCCTAATTGCTTCAATGACTGTATTCTTGACAGAGCACCGTTAAATTCCTTGTTATCTACGTACCAGTAATCTTATTCATCATACTAATCACGTTTATGCACTGTACATATGTACTATGGAAAGTGAATTATCTAATGAAACTAAATATTATGTTTTACATATGTTTATAACATATATGGTATAATTAATAAATTGTGTTATAATTATATTATAAATTATTATATAATTATATTATAAATTATTATATAGTTATATTATAAATTATTGTATAACTATATTATAATATTGTCACGCACGCGCCGTAACGTAGACTAAAACTACCAATAGCGCGAGCGTTCCGATTTGAAATTTAAATAAATTTTAATAATTTGTATAGAAACCAAATTCGGACCTCACAACGGACCTCCCACGGAATAACCTGTCACATGATGACCTCCCCCTCCCACGATTGATCTAAATATAAATAAGCGTAGCGACATAAAAGAAGCGAAATAATTCCTTAGTTTTAGAATAGTTAATTTTTCAGTTTTGTGTAACTTTTTTTTCCATGTGACTTCTTGATAAAGCAAAACTCAGGAGTCTATATTCATTAAACGCTTCTTTCTTTCTATTTTGAAATGAAGATAGAATAAGCGTTGAATAAGCAATAAGATGCTGGTTAAGCGTTGCGGGGAAAAAGCTGTCAAATATTGTTTATTCCTTAATTCGTTTGCTTAAAACGATGCACAAATTGTGAATATTAGAGGCAATCCCAATTGCTCAGCGATAATCTAAATCTAAATACGAATAACTCGAAGAGCAAGATCTAATGAAAACTCACGCGCTTAGTTTTCCAATCGTATCCTCTGACTTCACTTTTCTGATCCATTGTTGTCCAAAAAGCTCCTCTTCTATTACTACTATATATATATATTATATATATATATTATATATATATATATATTATTCGAATTCAACGATATTAAAATCAAGTGAAACACCAAACTTTAATTCAGAAATCTCTCGGAATTGTAACGAATTAACGATAACGACTCGCGTGGGTGTACTGAGTACCTGGTGACACGTCTTCTTTCATATATCATCGGTAACACGTCGTATATATATTGCTCGTGAGAGGGGAGAAACGACACATTCATACTCTCTTGCTCTCCCGTTGCTTTTTTTCTTTCACGACCCTGAATAAAGGAAAAACTCATGCCGCTGGAAAAACTCGAGGACAGCGAAATTTCTCGTTTTGTAATTGAAATAGTTCAATGATGTCGGCGTCTAATTTTCAGTAGTCAGCGATGTCTAGAAGATAACTTGTAGGTTATCATGCAGAAAAGAATGAAAGTTATATAATGAGTTGAAATTATTCCGATTTATATTGAGATACCAACAATTGTCGTCAATAAGGTCAAAGTGTCTCTCGTTCTATTCGCCAACAAATGGCGAACAATGTTGCCCACAAGTTTGTAAATTTTTCGAACAAGTTTGACCATCTACGACCTGATCTACGACCTGATCATTCCGACGTCAATTTTACTAAAGGTATGTAGAAAATAAGCTGTAACTCGAAAATAGAGTCTATGCTAAGCTATGTTTATGCTAATTCTTCTTATTTTATTGTGCTAAATCGTGCAACAGCTTTGTTACGAGACAGGCAACAGGTCCGGACGTTTATTGAGTTTCGTTCGTAGATATTCCATGCAGAAATATTCGGTGCATATATGATTCGGTGTAAACGCCATGCCAGCGTTTATCGAGATTGATAGGGATAATTGATCGCAATGAATTGGCCATACAACGTTGTTATGAAACAATAATTATTAAATTGTTACAAAGTTTCCCTTTATTTTATGAATATGAGAGAAACAAATTTATTAGTTTTAGGTTATTTGCAATAGCTAGCAGAAAGATTTTGAATACGTTACGAATGTATTATAGCTTCGAATCTTGTTCCTATTCTAGGTATTGTGGAATATTGATATTCCACGATTGGGCGTTGTTACACGTATAATTCGTGGCAGATTGTAGCAATTACAGTTTTCTTTCATGGCTCTTCTGGGAACTAGATTGTGTGGTTACTTGCAGTGTGCGTTTTATGGTTCACATAAGTGCAAGTTTAAAACTCAATTAATATCCCATATACATGATACTATATACACTGTATATATTAAAGTTTGTACTCACCTTTACGAGATTATATCTATTAGAATTTACGTAATGCCTTTAACAAATAAGCCAAGCAAGGGCGATGTCTATCTACTGGGGTTATTAATTAAGAAGACTTCTAAGTAGAGTTTTTTCCAGTTACCATACTTTTTAATCTTCTTTAAATTTTTTATTTCATTAGTATCGATGATCTTCGTGAAAAAGTATAAAGTTGCTTAAAACTTGAATTAAACATCGGAAATAAATTTCTCTTTTTTATATTGATTACTGAAAAACCACAACAATCAAGGTACCACAAGTAGCCAGCAGCATCGATCTTCTTAGAAATAATTATATAATGCAATAAAAATGAGATTATTTATTATAAAATAATTATATCAAACGTACTTAAAAAGAGTCTCAATAAATTAGAATAATTTAACAGCATTGTCTTGTTATTTACCTTTTCGCTGCTCAATCCCACAAAAGTTCACGAAAAAACTCTAAAAATCGAAGCCGCAAAAAATTTTCGAACGTTCCTAGAAATGACCCCATTTTTGTCGACGAAATTTTGTCGAAATCTCAATTTCTCGAACTCCTGGATAATGACGTCATTTCCAAAAATTCCAAAAAGCTTCGTATGTCTCTTATGCTATTTTATTCTTCTTAGTACTTATTATATAGTTACCATATACTTACCTTAATACTTATCTTAATACTTGCCGATTTTCTCAAAGCTTTTCGTCATTCCTTATAAACTTGTTTCTTAGACCAGTGATAATTGAAAAGGATTTAAGGATCGTGAATGGAAGGATTTTAAACGATTAAACGTTTTGTTCATTTGCAAAATAAGGTTAAGTTTTATTTAATTCAATTTGGAAATTTCCAATAATTGTACAGTTTTACAATGAATTCATAGTTTTCTGTATAATAGATAAATTGTATAATCTACCCCATACATATACATAACAAAATTAGTCAAAATCTGCAACTTTTCATGTCATTCTTTTAGGCAATGTTACTTTGTAACGCATCTAACTGGGAACGAACTTCACAGTTACGTATACTTCTATATGATATCTGTAATTCTTTTTCTAAATTTATCCGTGTTTATTGAAAAAGTGCTCGTTGTTCGACTATTTATTTCGTATTAAATGCATAAACTAAAACGTCACAGAAGTTGAATCTCGTAACTTCATTTTTCTTAGGCTTTTTCAAGTTTTGATGGTTGGCCGTATCAAAAACCTGTCCAGAAAATGGAAGTTGTTCTTAGTGGGGGGGGGGCGTCATAAGCGGCAAATGGGCGCAGTCGTCCTAGTTTTATAATAATTCGATTTCGTTGTCCAACCCTATGTCATGCGAATTGTTTCATGCGAAAGTGACAACGAAAAATGAATGCGTGCACGTGGTGCACTGGTGCTTCGCATTTACTAAATAAAACAGTCTATAGCTTAATCTTTTAACAATAAGTTTTGTTGAACTTAAATTTAAATAATTTAAATAATTGTCTTGAATTTAAATAATTGTCTTCGATACAAAATGTTGCCAGTTGGGCCTGCGACTTAATGTTTCCTGAATTATCATCTGCAATCTTGTTTAGATTTCTAGAAGTTTTGAGAAGTATAAATTGAATTTCAGATATTAATCTAATTCAATACTCTAAGTTGCGTTTTTTAATTCTGAATCGTAGATTAGATTAAGTTACTTCCGTAACTGGTCCTATAAAAAGAAGAAGGAAAATTAACTTTATTAAAATAAATGCATATTCTATGTGGGAAACGGAAGGTTTGACGAAAAAAATATTGTAAAATATTGTAATTGTAATATTGTAATTGTAGCTGATCCGAGAAGGGTGGAAGAGGGTTCAATTCGATTCAGCTTTTTGAATCTTCGCGCACTTCTACGAGCAGTGTGATTTAGCGTTCCATGGGCACCAATCCACGTACTTTCTCCCTAAAAAAAACTCAAAATCAAAGGTAATAGCAAGTAACGGTAAATATTATATATATGTACATAATATTATAAACAAGAATATAATGCGAAAATAAAATTATATAAGATAAATTAAATGTTTTAAACAATTTAATGTCATGGAGAAGGAAAAGATGAAGATGGAAATAAAACTAGATAACCAGTTAATGATAACTTCAAGTCGATGAAGAAAGCTTTCATTTAGAGTTGGTATTTGTTGAATCAGTTGAATGTAAAGACGTTATTTACGCTAAGAAAGTTGGATCTGTTGTTATTGTTTTATCAATATATTTAAATACGCAATGTCGACGAAATCCTCCGTCGATTTGCGAGCAGAACTCGCTGAATTAGTGAAAAGGAAAGCAGAAATAGCTGTGAGTACTGAAGCAATTGTCAAACTGTGCCTCTTGTAATGTATTTCAATTTTCTTATTAATTATATATTTGGTATAATTGAGGTTATTGTTATTGTCACGAGATAGAACAATTTTATTTACACCCAATTACCACCTTAAACTTCTGCAATAAATTGTTTGTATTGTCTTTTAGATATTGTTAGGTTATGTCGACCTCTGATTTTTTCGTGTTAATAATTAATGCTTTTACTTTCTGGTTTACTTATATTCCTAAACTATCACTAATGTAAAATATTAATTGCTTGTGAATTTCTAATTCAATTTTTAAAATGTACCTAACCCCAATAGTTAATTTTCATGTTAGTGAGTATATTCATTATTTGTATTTAGTAGGATTTGGCACATTATATGTTTTTGTTTATTTATCTGATCTATTGAAAAATAGAATAATAATTCTTTTATTTTATTTCATCTTTTGTTTAGTATTAAAGAAAATCTCTTTTGCTTGTGTAATATAACACACTTCTGTATTATTTAATAAACTTGCATATTGCTGATACTTCTACCATTAAATATATCTTTTAATGTTGTATAAAATAGTTCACACTGTGTTATATTAAAATATGAATAATGCTAATGTTTTTGTTTAATGTTTTAAATCATATTTGTAATAACATATCGATTTCCTTGTTAACATTATATAATATATTAAGAAAAGATTTATCTAAATAGTAAATTAATGTTTTAAGTTTCTCATCCTTACCTATGTTACAGAAATATATTGAACATGATTTAAATGAAAATAAAATAATATAGTTATCGCGATTGTTGCGTAAATTGTTATCTTAACACAAAAGAGAAGCAAAATTCAAATAAAATTTATATAAGCGTAATTACTATCTTTTTTGGAACATTAATATTACACTTTTTAAATTAAATATTAATATTAATTTGTTTTGTGTCTTTCATAAGATATTAAAATTTTACAGGACACTCTTGCCAATTTAGAACGCCAAATCTATGCATTTGAAGGTAGTTATTTGGAAGACACACAATTGTATGGTAATATAATACGTGGCTGGGACAGATATTTAGCCAGTAATAAAAATACTAACAGTAAAGCAGATAAACGAAATAGGAAATTCAAAGAAGCTGAAAGACTATTCTCAAAATCTTCTATTACCTCTATGGCTGTTAGTAATCAATATTTTATTTTATATAATGTTATACTTTGTCAAAATAGACAGAAATGTATTGTTCAAATTATTAATAAGAGAAAATTCTTGAAAAGCTATAGTATCTTAATAAAAGTATATATTTGTGCACAGAAGCTATTACGTTTAATTTCAGTATTATAAAAATATGAGCTATAATGAGAAACTAATCGCACGGGCATTTTTAAATATTTATATCGAATGTACTGTTGTTAAATCAAAAGTATTACATTTTTACAGGCAGTCAGTGGACTTGTTGAAAACACCCAGGAAAAAAGTAAGGACCTCAATGGATATTCCTGAGATAGTTAATTCTTTAAAGAAAAAAAAAAGAGTACAACTTATTTTTCATCCTATCCCTCCTTCCAACTTTTCTTTTTATCCTCTCCTTGATAATAATTCTTCTTAGTTTTTAAGTTATCCTTGATTGTATTTCTTTTTCTTTTCAATGTATTGGTCAGACTGTCTTCCAAAAAAAAGAAAAAAAAAGCGCAATAAATATCGATTGTTGCAAAGTGCAGTTTATTGCACTAACGAAGAAAGAAAATTCAAAAGATATTCATTGTTGCTTCTAATTTTTGTGGAGTAACTTTTTTTTCTTGTGTATTTAAATTACGAATAAATTTTAGTTCATTTTCTTGATCTATTTTGATAATAATTCATTTTTGAACTTTTCGAAAGTAACTTTTTGTCATACGCACTTTACGTATTGATTTTTCTCTGTCTGTTTTCATCTACATTCATCTTTTTTCTGTATCTAATTATAAATAAATTTAATGTCTATTTCTCTTACCTGTTTCGAAGTTTTATAAAAAGTTATTCCTCGATTTAACAATTCTATCTGCTACCATTGTCTTGTTCTCCGTGTATGTCAGTAGTAAACTTGTAATTTGCTTTTCTCGTACATGTCGAAAGTGTAGAAGAACGTTAGCTTGAGCATTGTTATCTTTATTTTCTATATTTATCTTTTCTCTGTATCTAAGCTTTAAATAAATCCGTGTTTTCTGTATTAATGTGGGTATAACAGAAACATTTCTTTTATACTCTCAATATACAAGATAATTTTTAAAAGTAATTGTTCACAGTAATGCTTATGAAATCGATCAAAATATGGTAAAGTAACAATTATTTACACTTAAAGCGTGTTGTTTCTTTCACTTTTATGAAAACATCTGGTACATTTATACTCTCATATTACATACTTGCTATATTTGCTTCTAGATAGTCAATTTTTTAAAGTCGCAGAATATTAAAGAATTAAAAAATGTATGTTTTGATCGATTAAACAATTTTACACTTTAATTTTATCTTATCGTCTTATTGTTAGTTTCTAGTTTTATTGGTATTTTAATGTTTCCTTGTTAGTGCTATAACTCTAGTGAATGTTAATTGCGATTCAATCTTATGACTTGTATGATACATATGAACGTTATATGAACGAAGAGTATTGGCACTATAAATATCAATGGTAGTATAAGTGTGAAATTATAGTGCAAAACGATTCTTTAAATAGAAAATATGAAATAAAGATTTATTTCAAAAATAGTTAGAGAAACAATAGTAACATGTAAATTAGAAATCCTATATCCTCGATGTGACTCAGATATTATAAATTACTATTACTATTACTACTACTACTACTACTACTACTACTACTACTACTACTATTACTACTATCACTACTATTACTACTACCACATTTGTGTCTTCCAAATGTACCAATACTCTCTCTCACGCGAATTTCTCGATCTTTAAAATAGTTTAATCGATCAAGCGAAGGTATATTTTCATTAAACGTCACTCACGGTTAAACAATCCTTGACTGATTAATTGTTTGACGAATAATCGGTCAATCTGCATCTGGATAAACCATGCACAACTGTCGGTCGAGTAATCGACTAATTAATTCTTCAGTTCGGCCGATCGTGCCACGTGCCGATCGGGGATCGCGGTTTTCCCATTATAAACTTGATTCCAGTTGACCGGTACAGTGAATCGGAGTCGCAGATCGGCAACAGCGGTAGCGAGGACAATTGCAGCCTCGTAAATTCTCATGGAACAGCTGCCAATAGCGGCAATAGCAACGGTAATAAGGAGTCGTCCGGGAAAAACCACTCTGTAACTGGCCAGTATAGCCAGAATGGATCTATCGCCTCTTCAACCGAGATTGCTAGACAATTTGCGAACGGGCACGCGAGCAATGGCAGCCTGGAGCACGTCTCCTTGAAGGAGAACACTGGAAAAGAGCCTTCGAAAAATAAGTCTGGGAACAGCGCGAAAAAGAATAGCAACAAGAGGTCCAGAAATAGGTAGAATAACCTCGAGCCGGTGTAATCTGTGGATAGTTCACGCGAGGACTATCAATGGAACATTTCTTCCTTCTATTCTCATTCGATTCTGTCGATATACCAGATCTCACTGTTTTATACAATAAGTGCACCACGGAATACCGACTTTTTATGGGAGAGTTACAGGCTTATCGTTAACGAATAAGAGCATTAGGATTAGTAAGTGAATAACAGTTTGGGTAACGAAGGGTGTCGTTTTACCATCCGGATAGGATTTCTATTTCTGTTTCCATAAAGACTATGATTGTAAGCCAACGTATATAGTATTGTACAAAGATAAATTTCAGGTTTAGAGATGAAATGATATCAATCGTCGTCTTATTCGGTTAGTTGGACAGTACGTATTACGCTTAAGAGATAATGTAGAATTATGAAATCTTTAGTTCTTACTTGAGATTTTATTCCTTGTAATTCCGTGTTTCACGACAAATATCAAATCTGTTACCATTAGTTAAGCTCAGTCAAATTTTGTCATCTCCACTATTTAAGCGTTATAAGACATCCTAATATTTTTTGTCCCAATTTTAACGATCCGATAGTTTGTTTTATAGAAGATTTGTATTAGTAATAGTTGGTACATTTTGTTACTTTTATAATATATAAGGTTCCTCGAATGATTTTAATACGTATATAAAAAATAGCATAATATTTGTAGCTGTAGTGAAAATAAAACTAATAATTGCACAAAGAAATGAAGTTGGATAATCAGAGTATTATTTGTAATCGCGTCATGTTAATTTAAAGGTTCAAATTGTTTGTTTATTTTTCTAAGTCAATTTTATTTTTGATGATACTTTACGTAATATATGTTTATCTATCTTCTGCAAAATATGATTATTCATACTTGTAAAATTAAAATTTTAACAGATAGTATAAAAAAATTGACAAATATTTTTTGTAACCACTGTATTTAAATAAAGCATTATTAATAAAGGATTTGAAAGTACCTAATTGAATCATAGACCTGTAGCGTAAATTTTCATTTTATTTTTTTCGACACATTTTTTTTTATAATTTTAATTAATCAACGCTATATATTCTTATTTGTAAAATTACAAATTTCTATGTTCGTTTATTAATTAATTATTTATTTATAAATTCTTATACAACGGAGTATTTTTCTATATTTTTACTTTTTAAGTCTTGAAACGTCCATTTTCATTACCATTTATTATATTTTTCTTTCTTTTTATACGTTCAAAATATTTGCAAATATTAAGAATATTCCATCGTAATTAAGTAGAATTAAACAAAGGAAATGAACGCTTCGAAATTTTATCCTTATCAAATCAAGTATAAAATATCATTTTAGTACAATTTAGATAAAATGTATATACATTACTCGTTGGAAAATTTTTATCATTTTATCCGTTACTTTCGGGTTCTTTTTTAAATACCTTTGTATCGAACAAAAAAAAAACAATAATTTTCAATATGAATTTTTCTCAAGTATTTTAAGGTATTGTTTCTCGTTAGCAGCAGGATAACACAGCAGGATAAAAACTAGATACAAATTTTTATTCGCAGAACATTCGATTTACCTTTAATGAGGATTGGAAATAACAGTTACCGGTAGAAATGCTTTCAAATTACTATCTTTTTTCACGTTCTTTGGGGGTTCGTTTCTGGTTACGACTGCGTTGAAGCCATTATGATCATCAGCCGTGTAAGTGACTGTTCGAATTGAACCATCCGCTTCTACCACAGAATATTCACCCTTTACCGTGTCACCGTCTCTCTCTTCCCACGCTGACTTAGAATCGCCGGTATATCCATCCAGGACGCCATAATTAAACGAGTATCTTGGATGAGCCTGCAGAAAAATGAGATTCTATGTGAATAAATAGAATTATACTTCTTGCCTAAATAAGATTATACTTCCTACATAGTACTAAAACTTCATATCCTGAAATAAAAAGGTTTTTTATTTTATAATATCATAAGCTTGTATAGCAGTTATACAGAAAAGGGCACACTTTACCGAGTCCAATGATAGTTAAATATGTTACATTATAGAGGACAACATTCAGAATAACTTTTGTCTATACGAGATATTCATGAAAATCTTCAATTAAATTTAGTTTCCGTTATACTTCACCCTGGCATATAGCTGGCCAAATTTTTACACAGCCCAACGTTAGCACGACTTAATTTTTATTCCATACGATTTTGTAAGTGTATCATAAATTGCAGTGTTGATAACCATGAACTCAGTGTTGATCTTGACAACATATTTCAAGCTCATTGAAATCGGCGATGCGTGTCTTTCTCTGTATAATTATCGTTTTTATCGTAATTCAAACAAACCTATTATAAATAACTTTGCTAAAAGTGTCCTTTACAAATTACCGTGAATTCCGCTTCTTTTTCATTTTTTGTATCGGTCGCGACAACAGCAGACGCCGTTTTAAAAATCGGTGGCGCAACGTATACCAATGATGACGTCTTCGGCAATGGTCTGTACGAGATCGGAGTGGAAACTTTCACATAAGTCGGAAGTATTGGTTCTACTTTGCCTCCGATTGATTTAAGGGCGCACGCCACTGGCACTGCTGCCCCACTCGCGGAGATTGCATCGATTGGCGCGCAAGGAAATCTTCTAAATATCAAACAACCGTTTCGTTATATAAGATGATTCTAAAGCTTGATGAACTGCTAGCGGTAGTAATGAAAGTTTGTAAAACTGTAATGGATTATGAAATCTTACTGTTGTAGGACACCAGCGATGATCAGCTTCAGAAAACAACACAAAATCACGATCTGTAAGAGAAAGGAGCAAATTGGAAAGGAAAATTTGAACAGAAAAAATGGGAACATCTAAATATCTTCGTTATTTGCGTATATATGAAAAAGTTTCTTAGATAAAAGGAGTACGAAGGTTCGACGAAGTAAATATAATGCCAAAGAAAAAAGTTTTCTCACGATTACTTTTAAAAATTCTTTTTCAAGTATTCATATGTTTCATTTTTATATTCGTATAGTAATACGATATTATAATGTAAAGCGAATTATAAAAATTCAAATTCAAATTCGATATGGCACGTTTCTTCACATTGCCCGATTGATCTCAAATTTTACACAAGTACACAGAGAAAACAAATTCGTTGGTCGAAAAATAAGATGTATTCTAATATACATACATAATATATGCGGAAGCGCTAAGGAGTTTAGAAAAGTTTAGAAAAATATCTTGGAAGTATCAATATGCGCGAAGTTGCAGCGAAGACACCCAAGAATCGAACTATCTACCACGCATGCGCAGATTAGATTTTCATTGCACAATGTCTACTGCAGTCTTAAGGAGTGCCGCTATTCACATTCAGTGGTTCTCGAGTAACGTTTTGAAATAAAAAACAACCTAAATCCTAAACGTTCGAAATGATTGACCAGATGACTAATAAATCAAAAAAGCAATATAAATGTTCCTTTAACTATAAGAACACATATCATAGGTCGAAAGAAGTCGAGTCGAACGTGGGAATTGATATTTATATACGTTTCTTGCCAATTGTGAACCGCTACATTAAGCAACCGTACTTTCAACTAGCAATCGCGGGACCACGAAATAAAAAGTGACCGATACATTTATAAAGATTTATGGAATCGAGTCTTTTTAAGGTACAGAAATGCATTAAGATTACATAAGTGCGTCAAAAATTCCTTTTTTATGCTCTATTATAATCGTTATTGTGATTTCTTTTTTTTAAATTTGATATACCAACTTTTTTTATATCTTGTTATAAAAATATTTGTACATATTCCTTTAAAATGTTTTCTGCGCATCTCTTCTCAAATTTAAAACGATTAACATAAATTATTCGAAATATAATATGTAAAAAGTTTTATCGAAATAATTTAGTACTTAATATCTATTATTTTTTTTTAAATTAATTGTATAAATAGTAATCTTCATTTTACCTTGTCGGTAACACTTTTTGAAAACTGCGACTGCATGTTTAGGGAACTATAAAATCAGCGTTGTGTAATGAAATTTGCACCAGAGATATACTTCTTAGATTTCTTCCTGATTTCCCATTAAAGATTATCAATAAATCACATTTTTCTTTTTTCGAAGAAAAAAATATTTTTGATAATTAATTAATTACATACACATAGAACCTTCTCAAATATTTGCAAATATTTGTACATGTGTATGCACTTATGAATAGAACTTAAACGAAATTTTAAGGTCTACTAAACTTTCACGGCGGTCCTTCAAAGAATAGAACATCAGCATCCAGCTCATCTTTATATACGGCTTATACAAGGTGTTAACAATGTTAAACGATTCTTTTCGATACAAAAGTATTTGGTATAATTTTCAATAATTGAAACAATACTTTCAAACAAATTTTGCCTTTTATTTAATTACAGATACAATAATTGAATTGTTTTAATCACCCTATATACACGAGAATTTTTATCTATATTGTTCCTATCTTTATGTAAATAAGAAAAAAAATCTAGACAACATTAATAGGGAAAATGAAATTAGAAATTTTGCATGATTTATTCTTTATTATGTACAAAATATGATAAATGAGAATTATAGATACTATAATTCTTATAATTTATTCTTATAATTTAATTATGTATATGATTAAATTATTTCAAACACCCGGTATGTACGAGAACGTTCACTTACATTGTTTGGGTCTCTCTTAATACAAGGGATGCGCAACATGCATCCGTGGGAACGTCATCACCTGTTGAAACTGATGTTCTTAAACTACCAATGCAATAGCAATAAAATATTTACGATCAATATAATAAATAAAATAAATATAATAAATAAAATATTTTATGTTTATCTTTACTTTTAAATATCTATTAAAATTCAAGTTTGTATTTATAACTCGTTATTCGAATTGCATAGGATAAAAATTTTTATTTGATTATATATCAAACCAACAGATTAAATAATACCTTTTGGATAGAAAATAGATTTTCTTCTTCTAAAAAGGCGATTTTTTACGATTATTTACGTAATGTCAAACTTCAAATTAAATAACGTTTCTTAAAATTAAATAACTTCCTTCAAATATGTTTGATAATTAGATAATTCCCATTTACATTCTGGAAATAATTTTGTATTATAAAATACCAAAGATAATATGAAATAAAATTTTTAGAAAAATTTCGATGTTTCTTAATTCTCAAGTATTTTTTATATTTTTAAAAACACTATGTGCTTCACAAATTTAAAAGAATTTTCTGTATATCAGAAATCTTATGAATTTTTATATTTTTTATTATTTACCAGAAATCAGTTTAGCGAAGTCAGAAGTTAGATTAAAAAGATAATTAAGGAATGTAGGAAAAATTTATTTATTCAATCTCTTTTGATAATTCTTCTACTCTCTGTCGTGCAGCATCAAGTTGCTCTTGAGTTACAGTTGGTTCTAGGCCATACTTTTTTTCTTCTTCTAAAATATACTCCAAGTTTTTAACCTTTTGAGCGAAAAATATCTTTTGCTGTTCTCTTAATTCAGCTTTAAATGCATTTAATTTCTGCTGAATAATACCATCGCAGTAATTTTTGGTCAGTTGCCTTAGTGCATTTTTTCTCGTCACTGGGCCAGGAACTCTATAATCAGTTAAAAGTTAAAGAATGCATATAATAAACAATTTATTATATACAAAAGTATACAATATCATACTTTGGTTGAGATATATAAATAAGATTCAAACGTTCAAGAAGCCATTCAAATCGTCTATAATCCCATCTTCGCAAATGTGCAAGAAACTTCTTTCTTTTATCAATTAATTCTTTTAGAAATACTTTGGTTTTTACATTTTTCGGATGCTCTTCTATATATTTTTGAAGATATTGTATTTCACTAGTAATTGCAGCAACTGAAACAATTTATTTTGTTTGAATATATAACTGGGAAACAACTAGAAATTTTTATAAAACTGTATGTAGTAAATTATATATAAATCAAAATTAACATTAATACTTTTCGGAAATTTATAAAATAAAAGTATACGTACTTCTAACTTCTATGGAACCTCGATCACAAACATGCCTTTTCACAAGTCCTATCACTCTTTCTCTTTCTAGATTTTTAAATTCTTTTTTTGATTGAAAATCCAAACTGAACATTTTCTTTACAATTTCATCTGCACTGCGTTAATAATTGAACAATGATTAATTGTCTGTATTAGTTGGACTTTTATTTTGAATAAGACACAAAAGATAGGCATAACTAAAGAATATATATTTTTTAGGATACAAGAACTTTAATGAATGTAGTTTTTATTCATCTTTGTGGGATAACAAATTATCTTCTATATAGAACAATACAAATGTATAGTTATTACTTACTCTTGTAACTCTTTCGAATTCTGGTAATAGGTTTTAATATCTGTAGGTTTTACAGATACTTTTACTCCCAAATCACCGGTTTGTCGTGGATCTATGCTCGGGATTTTGACTGGCCGTGTCCACTTAATTTTATAATCGTCGACGGTTTGAGCCATTCCACGGCTCAAATAACCTCCAAACATATATACATTGTTCACTCTTGTACTTAGTAATTTACAGCAGTTTATTAACGAATTCATATTTATTTATAAACTAGGTATTACAAACAGTCAAATTAACTACAAATTATAAGTTAATAAATATAAGATGTACAATTGGTCAAATATTGTCATTACAGACTATACGCAAATAGAACACACATTGCGCATGAACATGACCATTAGCTAAAAGCAAGTTTCCAATCAAGAGTTCACATCTTACCGTGATGTTCTAATTGAAGTTATTTTTTAAATTACAAAGAGCGAAGTAGTTAGACATTCGTATTTAAAATTACGAATAAAACTTTAAAAAATTTTTAATTATTTACATAAATATTTTAAATTCATGAAACTATTACAAATATGTATGTAGATATTCATTAAAATTCTTTTGAAAGATTTACATTGTTACTAAAAAACTATATTGAACTACTTGACTAGTGTTTTTTACAATTATAAATACATTACATTTTCAAATCTTTGTAATTATCTCTTATAGTTTTCATACCCTCGTTTTATATGAAATTTGAATTCCCGCTTTTAAGATCTGTGTGGTTTGCACATGAGCAGTAACAATGTAAATATGTTTGCGTGCGTAAATGTGTTTAGTATTTATATTATTAATTATTTTATCAGTGATTAGTATAAATTTACATAAATTCATTTACTGTTACTATAAGTTACTGCATTTCCAGTTAAAATTTTATGAAAATTTAATATATACAAAGATATAAAATTAAAACTTGAAAATAATATGTATTCTTCTAATTTATATGATGTGTATTAATGCAATATATAAATATATAATGTGTATCAATGTATACTTTTTTATTTATTAAGCATTAAATATGAGTAATTTCTTTATATAAGTTGAGTTGTTGAGGGATTAAAAATAAAATGTAGTAAAAAAATTATTATATTTACAACATCACTGTGTGATGAAAGTACACAGTAGTTTAATTACACATAAAAATTAAAGTAAAATTATTTACACAAATTACTTTTATATATCAATCCTGCCTACAATCTCAAACCATTGTCTTAATGCATCACTTAACACAACAGGTAATGTATCCAAATCTCTAAGAATAATATAAAATGGGAATGGGAAATTATCCATGTAAGAACTTATACCCAATAACTTGCCATCTTTGAAAATTGGCATTCTTATATCAAGTATTGAATCCTAGAAAAAATAATACAAGTGATAAAGAAAACAATTTTGAAGACTATTAGTATATAATTATAAAAACAACATATAGATATTTGAAAAAGCTTATTTAGTATCTTCAAAGTTAATGAATTATTCGTTAGATGTCTAATAGAATTTAAAGATTTTTCATTAAAAAGTTCAAATTATATCTTTTTGTTTAATTATAAATTTTATTAAGTGCTCACCTTATTGAAAGGATTATCAACTATTATGAAAACAAGGAAAATATTCAACAATTTAGCTTTCCTCACAGCTGCAGTTACTTTTTCTGTCCCTTCTGAAAATATACCTCTACCATCAGATAAGATGGTTACCAACTTCGCATTGTCAGAAGAACTGTCTTGAGATGTGAACATTTCCATTGTGAAATCAAGCAGTTCACCAATCATTGTCTTCTTCTGCTCAAATTTCATTTCTTGAATTAACCTAGAAGGATGTTTAACTTTAAATAATAATACATTTATTTAATTTCTTATTACACTTACCTAGCACCACTTTCCTCTGTAAAGTTTTCCCCGAAGGGATGAAGGATATTCACTCGTTCCCCGAAATTGATAACAGCAAGTTGGCCAACCTCCAAATATGTCATAGCTTTGCCAATCAACGAAAGGGATTCAAACGCTAATTCCTTTGAATGATTATCAGCCATACTACTAGAATCATCGATAGCTAACACTATTTGATAATCTCTTTTTGATGGTTTTGTGCGTCTCAACCAAATTTTGTCTTTTCGAAATTCGCTGGCGATATAGGGAATTACTTTTCTCATGTTTATACGCTTGCCAGTTCTATAGTCGCCCTTTAACCGGGAGGTTAGTGTAGGTTCTAATACCAATCGCAATTTTTCTGATAATTCCCTAGCAGCTGATTCTGTTAGGGCACTTATTGAACTCCAAGCATTCGCTGCTTCTATCGAAGATGGTCCTTGAGACCACTGACCTAACATATTTTCGATTTCAGTCCTTCTTTGTACAATATCATCTGTGGAAAGATCATAGGATTCCGATTCTGGCAATTTTGTGTGAATAGTGGATTCGTTTCCTCGTAAAACACGACTTGTTGCCACTGTTTCACCTTCAACTTCACCTCCTATTTCAATTTGTTCCACATCGTCTGATTTTT